ACACTGATAACCTTAAAGTGCTAGCTATTATTATTACTATTGTTATTACTACTGTTATGATTATTGTTATGAGTTTGGGGCTTGGAATCAGGAAGACCTGAGTCCCTTCTTGCCTTAGAGCTTAGACATTTGTGTATGAGCTGTCATCTCATCTCTCTGCCTCATTATCTTCTGTTAAGTAAGGTGCTTGGATTTGGTGTTAAATCTATAGTCTATGACATTTGCCCTCTAAGGGTGGGATTTTGTAGATGCTTTTGGAATACCTGTAAGCCCTAGGAATAGGTATATGTCCCCCTCCCTCACCAGTGGTGCATGTGGGAGTATAGATGAAAACTACTCCAATTAAAATGAGAAAGGTTTTTGAAACTGTTTCCTTTCCTGTGGCCAGCTTTAAGGGTTAGGATCCTGTGGGCCTATGGAGATGATGTGGTGTGTGGTATATGTGGAAATTTCAATGGATTTGGATTTAGAAGAGAACAAGATTTGTGTTAAAGCTCTAACACCAATTGTGTGACAATGGACAAGTCACTTAACCTCTATGACTCAATTTCCTTGTCTTTATTAGGGAAATGCTAATAATATGGCACTCCCTGTAAGCCTTAAAGCTTTGTATAGATAGGAACTATTATTATTATTATTATTATTATTATCATCGAAGGGAATTTGGAATCAAGAAGTCCTGGGTTCAGATTTCCCCTCCGACATCAGCTGAATGACTTTGTGACCTGGGCATGTCCTCTATAAGCCTTAGGCAGCTCCCTAGAATTTATTTATTAAGTCATAGCTGGGTTTTAATTGCATTTGAGCTGGGAACTGTCCATCTTGCCGAATGCCTTCACAGATACATTTTATCATGCTATGATCCTTTTCAGTATGACTTCCTTGTCAGAACACTGTACCATCAATCCTGTGACTTTAGGCAAAGTATCCTTAGCACAACAAGGATGCTTGCTTTATCCAGTCATTAGGCAAGGCATATTGTGCAGTGTAGACAAAATGACTCTATAGACAAGAGTCATTAAAGATCTTTCATTTTGAGGACTTTTAATGAAAAATGCTGTCTGTTCCCAGAGAATGAACTGATGGTGTCTGAATATAGATGGAAGCATGCTTTTTAAAAATTTTTCTTGAGTTTTTTTTTTCCTTGTCTATATTTTCTTTCATAACACTACTATTATGGATATGTTTTGCATGACTATTCATGTACAGACTATATAGAATTGCTTGCCTTCTCAATGGGGGGAGGGGCAGGGAAGGAGGAAGGGAGAGAATTTGGAATGCAAAAGTTTTAAAAAGGAATGTTAAGGGGGCAGCTAGATAGTGCATTGGACAGAGCACCAGCCCTGGATTCAGGAGGACCTGAGTTCAAATTTGGCCTCAGACACAACACTTACTAGCTGTGTGACCCTGGCCAAATCACTTAACCCCATTGCCTAACGCCCCCCCCCAAAAAAAAGGAATGTTAAAAATTGTTTTTACGTATGGGGAAAAATAAAATACTAAATAAATTTTTAAAAAAGAAAGGAAAAAAAAGATCTTTCATTTTGCAAACATCAGTTTATCTGAATTTAAATATTCATGAAAAATTATAGAAAACTAACAGCATGGGTAGATGTACCATGACATAAATGTGTTATTTGTATAACAAAATATGCCTAAGTAAGTCAGATTGTCCAAAGTATCCTTCCTCCCCCAGTGATGAATATAGTGTTAATGTTTATTTTTATAGTATATGATTAGGTCTTTTTGTGTTTATGTTGCAGGATCCATTAGTAGAAATGAAGGCTTATCGACAAATGGCCCTGTTGGCATCTGGCTTTTCTTTCAGTTGGAGTAAATGGAATAAGCTATCTGGTCCTGAAAAAGTTGTTTTTAAGGTATATTTTCAAAAAGTCCAAATTCAACCTACAATATCATTATAAAGAAGATTCTGTATACAATGCCTTAGGAGCAGAACAAAATGGAAAGATAAAGTTAACTTCTCCTTTTAGAATATAAAAAAAGTCTAATTAAATGCAATTCAATATTCATTCAGCCACTAAAATGTGTAAGGCACTAGGCTAAATGCTAAAATAACACGACAAAGATAGAAAAAGTCCCTAACTTAAAAGAAGCTGCTGTTTTACTGGCAGGAGAGGAGAATAAAGTATGGGCTCAGATAAGTAAATAAAAGGGAATTTGAGGGAGGGTTGTTAACTAAAGCAGTCTGGGAAAGCTTTGCAAAGGAGGTGGCACCTGAGCTGGAGCCTTTTGAGAGGCAGAGATGAGGTGGGAGGGCATTCAAAGCAAGGAGGGATGACTTGTACCAATATAGAGTCCAAGAACCAGTTAGGAGTCCATTTTGCCTGGAACAGAGAGTATATAAAAGGAATTATTGTGAAATAAGGCTGTGGAGGTAGATTAGAGCCAGGTTTTGGAAGGGCTTAAAAACCCAGTGAAGGGGTTTTTGTATTTCATTCTAGAGGAAAGAGAATTACTGAATGTTTTTGAGTAAGAGTGTGTAGAGTTAGGTTTATGTTGCAGGAAGATTATTTTGGTAGATTGGAAAGGAGAGAGATTAGAATAAGGAGACCATTAGAGATCTATTAAAATGGCACAGGCAGGTGATGAAGGTTTGAAATAAGGTAGTAGCTGTATTATGAGTAAAGGGGGCAAAAGAGGGACATAATATAGAGATCTTGGCAATTGTCTGAATGTAGGAGGTAAGGGAAGGGGAAAGGTCAGGAATGATTCCAAGAATGGCCCTGGATGATGAGGAGAATGAAAGTTTCAACAGAAATGGAAAAGCTTGAAGAATTTAAAGCAGTAGAGAAGGGAGTGTGGAGGAAGATGAGTTAGTTCCATTTTAGATGGGTTTGAGATATTGATAGCACACACAGGCAGAGATGTCCAATAGACAACTGTTGTAGGGTTGGAGTTTCAGAGAGATGTTAAGGTTAAATATATAGATTTTTCTTGTTGTTTAGTTGGGACCACATTTGGGGTTTTCTTGGAAAAGACACTGGGGTGGTTTGCCATTTCTTTCTCCAGATCATTTTACAGATGAGGAAACTGAGGCAAATAGGATTAAGTGACTTGCCCAGGGTCATACAGCTATTAAGTGTCTGAGGCCGGATTTGGACTCAGGAAAATGAATATTCCTGACTTAAGGCCAGGCACTCTATTCACCGCACCACCTCACTCATATATAGATTTAGGAGTCATCTTTAGAGAGGTGATAATTAAACAATGGGAATAGATGAAATCACTAAGTATAACGTGTAGCTAGAAAAGAAAACCAAAAAAAATTTAAAAAGAGAACACCCCACAGAACTTTGTGGGATACCTACACTGAGGGGACAGGAGATAGATGATGAACCAAAAGGACTGGAGGAGTCAATGGAACCAGGAGTGAGGAATCTTAGGGAGAAAAGAGTATCCAAGAGGAAGGGATGGCTGGAAGTGTCAAAAGCAGTAGAAAAGGTTAAGGTTTGAAGACTGAGAAAAAGTGACATTGGGTTTAACAGTTGAGATCATTGGTCACCTTTGAGAGTGCAGCTTCAGTAGAGTAATGGTGGAGATGACATAGTTATGAGTGATGTTGAAGATCTAAGTTATGAGCTTAGCCACCTGGCTGAAGTTTAATGAAGACATAGGGAATGGGAGTTGAGGAGGTTAAAATTACCAGGTATGGGGAGCAGGGCTTGGGACGGAGAGAAATACTATGGTCCAGGTACTGAATTCTTAGAAAGGAAGGAAAGTAACCTGATGCATTATATCCACTAGGATCTCAACTGATTAATATACAAGGGTGGAGTGAATAACAAAAGAAGTAAGGTTGCCAAGGGATGGCAGCCAAGGGAATGCCTGGAAGTGGCCATGGGGAACAAGGGATTTGTTTATTCTTCCTCCTAACCCATTCCATCAGGATGCATGAGAGAAGAAGCAACCTCTGATGGAGAGGTGGGCAAGGATATAAGGCCTTACCACAGATAGCCAAAGTTTTTGAGAGGCCCAGAAACTACAAGGGGAGTTTATAATGACAGCAAAGGAGGAATATTTGTGAATATTTTAAAAAGTGTAGTGTAACAAACTTAAAACAGTCTCAACTTATCAAAAAATGAGCTATGCTAAGAGATCCCCAAGTAATACAAACTCATTTTATTTAAAGCTGATGTTTGTGGTGTCTGTGTCTTGTATACAGTGATTCCAAAATTGAGGCCAACTAGGTGCCTTTTATTTATGAATATCATAGTTATGGTTGGGGTCCTTGTTCCTCTGAGAGAATTATGGGATGAATAAGCATTCTCTCATTTTCAGAAGTGCCTGGGGAAAAAGAGCCCCAAGATTTAGTCCAAACTGAATGTTCGTAACATCAAATTCACACCAGGAGTATAAATAGTTTTGAGGTGAGAATTCATAACCGGGCAGTTAGAAAGCAGATAACTTTATTTTTGATGCTCTTTGGTACTTGGACAAGTGTCAGTGAGGGTCCACATAATCCGCTACTGCTGGGCAGTATGGTAGCTTTGTAACTTAGAACTCTTTGTTCTTTCATTCTTCTGCAGGCCAGTGAACTTCTCCAAAAAGAATATGTTGAGGATCACGAGTGGTCCCTTTATATGTTCAATGGTGAAAGAGCCCAAAAACTCAAGATTAATGAACTCAGTGAGGCATTTTCAGAAGAGTTAGAAGATGATACTGAATTTCATTCCACCTTATATCACATGATCAAGGACTTTACTAGTGAAACCGCACTGCAGAAAATCAGGCATTCAAACTACCTATTCATTGATGCTGTGTGCAAACTTCTGCTCTCTACTAGAGTGCTAACCTATTCTTAATGCCTACAAGTGTTAATTTGGTGAATCAAGTACCTTTGAAAAAAAATCAGGCATTCATTCAGCTAAATATTACAAGAGAAGTAGAATTTAAATTTCCCATTAAAATTGTCTGCTTAGCATTTTTACACACAAATTTTATTTTTGAATGAAAGCGCTGAGATAGAACATTTAGGCATGTTGAGGATTTCAACAACTGTTGTATTAAAACTGTAATGATTCTTTATTTCTTTAACATTTCACAGTGGATAAAACAGTACAAACTTTCTTCGTAAGGTTCACTAAAAATCGCAGACTTCCTATGGAGTTTGAGAAGAGAACAATATTCATTAACTTAGTTTTAGAAAATTATCAGGAACATAAGAATGACAGTGACATTTTTAAAAGATGGAGGTTTTCTATGTTTCAGTTTTTTATGCTAAAATAAGAAAGCAACTTTCCAGAGTAAAATGACCAATTTTCAGGTTCATTTAAAACTCAACATGTGATTGTTGTTGCCATTTATACTGGTGGGGGCCCGTGGTGTTGGAGTTTGGTGTAAGGCCACAAAGTTTGTTGGAGTGAAGTCCAGGAGCCCCCGTTTTCTACAGGAGCAGCATCTACAGGCCTTTGGAAAAATCGGCCTGTAAGAAAGCTCATAAAAGCTGCAAACAGTACAATAAACACGACAGAAATCCAGAGGGTTAGATTTGTCCTTTGGAAGGAGGTCTTGAGATCACACGCCCAGGTTGCTCCCATGTCATAACTATGAGGAAACCACAAATATGGGAAGCTGATTACGTCAGTGCATTGTTGTCTATCAACGTTACTATTGTTAAATATACTAAATAGTCTTTGGTATACTTTATATTCTCTCTATACATCAACACTGGCTGCATCATTGCAACGGGCTACAAATTATTTTGCTACCCTCTCCTTTAGATAACAACTTTAAATGAAATTTCTTCCATGAAGAAAATCAAGAGGTTCCTATCTTCTACAAGTATAAACATACCACTATTTATAGCATATAATAGCTAGCATTTCTATAGTGCCTTAAGATTTGCAAGGATACACACACACACACACACACACACACACACACACACACACACATACACACACACATTTTCTTTTCAGAAGTGGAGGGACTTAGAATTTAAGAGATTTTTTTTAGTCACATTCATGTAAAGCAAGCCATTTCCCATCATACCCTGAATACTCATCCTTATTTAATTTTATTGTTTCTAATTGCTACTTTATTTTGTGCATCTAGGTGATAACTAGAATTCTAGTTCTTTAAGATTCAAGCACTCCCCTCACCTCTAACAAATTTGAACATTGAATTTGAAATTGAGTAAGTTCACTTTGTATCATCATCATCATCATCATCATCATCATCATCATCATCATCCATACTGCTTACCACAGCATCACTTAAAAGACTGAGTGAAAGCTAAATTTTGTACTAACTAGATTAATTTCAACAGTTGGATACGTTGTCTGTGTTGTGAAGTTGTATGATTAAGGATATTAAGGTTAACATTCTCCTCTTTCATCTTCCCTCCAACCCTTCATATACACATGTACAGAATTTACATCTTTTTAGCAAATACACAACTTACAGTGAAGAAACATCCCATATGGATTGATTTTTCTTCTTTTCAGAAAAGCTTAGCTTTCTTGTTTCCTCTAAAATTTCCTCTGCAGGTGGTTCTGATTCTTCTTTATCTCTTTAAATAAGTCAATTTTAATATTTAAGACTATAAGAGCTCATCATGTAAAATGAAAATAATGTTAAATTATAGCAGATGATTGACTTAAAATATATTATTAGAAAACCATGATTACAAAATTATTCTGGCAAGTTCCTAATTTTATTCATTTGTTTGATTTTAAAATCTTTGAGAATATGTTTTGCTCATGCTTAACATTTTATATTATCAAAAACATGATGATTCAGGTCTTTTTGCCCCTAAAGATCTCATTAATTTGAAATACTTTTAAAAATTTTAATAGCTTGACCAGGAAAAGGATTTTATGGAAACACTGGTAATTTTAAACAAATAATAATAGATATAATCTTCTGGGAAAGAAAAAGTGAATCAAAATAGTATCTAATATTTAGACAGCATTTTATGGTTTGCAAAGCGTTTGCCTCACAAACCCAAGAGATAAATAATATGGTTATTGTTACCCCTATTTTCCAGATCATAAAGTCTAAGAAATTTGACCACACTCTCACAAATAGTGTTACATGAATTGGAACTTAAACTCAGATCATCTGGGTTGAAATCCAGTGTTCTTTCTATGAAACCATGCTGATTGCTAAACTGATAATGGCTCTTTTCCTACAGACTGGATTTGAACCAGCAACCTGAAGATTCCTATGCCCCATTCTATAAACCTAGGGTTGTCATTTCACTAAGCTAATAATGACTAAAGAGTTTCTTAAAAATTAAACAATTTCATTATGTTCATTGAGTAGTATTTATCTAGTTGGATTTGAATTTTCAAAGTCTTCTTTGTCCAGCAACACAGAATTATAATGCCAGAGTGGATTGTGGCACTTAACATTTTCCTTTCAGCCTGAGCTGTTCCTAAGGGATCTATAATAAATTTTCTTTTGGTTGATTTTTAAAAGGAAAATAAGATCTAAAGTGAAAGTCAGTTGCACTCCTATAAAGTTCTCAAGGAACACAACTAATTTGGCCTTTTTTTTACATACACACTCATATTACATTAGCAAATTTCTCCACCAAGATTACTGGAAGATAATAATTTTAACAATCTGTTTTTCAGTGTAGTTTAAAATATGTATTCTAATGTCGAAGGGTTTAGGTACACTTCCAGTAGCTATATTAATAGGCTTTACTTACTTTGAATCACATTTCTCTCCTTCATCATCAGCCCAAGAATATGTACTACTGAAGTGCTGAAGTGATGGACGGTGTTCACTTTGCTTTGATCCCAAAGTACGCCTGAATAAAAAAAATACAGCTCATTTCACATCACTGAAATTAGTTATACAACTCTAGTTTCACATAAAACCAAAGGAAAACCTGACACATTTTATTCATGGACAAACCAAGTTTTTGTACTAGTTGACCTTGTAATAATATAACAGTTAAATGTTGTAGTATATAACAGTATATATTTCAAACACAAATTTACTCGATTAAAAATAGGCATAAATTTCCCAAATAGTGGACAAAGTCAAAACTTACCAACTACTTGACCTCCTACTGAAGCGGTCGTTTTTTTCAATTCCTGACATCTTCAGTAATTGAGGTTTTAAAAGAAAAATTAGAATGTGAATTTAATGAGTTTCTATTTTTCCTATCTGAAAACTTTTGCTTTTGAAAGAGAAACTTTAGGGATTTTCTTACCAGTCCTGTATTTCCAAAATTCCTGGGCAAGGTTGCAATGCTGACTCTTCGAAGAGAAGATGGCTATAGATACACATACACATGGATACACACATGTGATTATGGTTCGTTGACAAATTAAAATTACAATATTGTATGATACATTTTAATGACCTCTAGAGATTATTTAGATGAATAAAATATATTCCCACTTACTGAACTTATTTCAGTGAAAATTCTAAACCACATTTCAAGCTGAAATAGAAAATAAAATCTGAATGTTTGTTGTGATAAAGCCCCATGCCTCCCAACTTTTTCTAGTGTAAAGTCTACAACCTTTGAAAGAATGCCACATGCAATATACTGACAGGACAGATCTTCTGTAGCAGTCCCAAAAAGAAAATTTTCACATTTGCTCTCTTCAGTGAGCCTATTTCCATTCAATATTTGAAGTCACAGAGAAGACTGTAGAATAAAGAATCCTACAAGTTTTAAAATCTGGGCAATTTGGACTAATGGTAGTTTTCAACTACTTATCTTTGTTGGGTTTGATGTTTTAAAGATTAGTGGTATTTATATTTATTATATACAAGCTTTATACAGATATACTTTATATAAGAAATTCAACAACCATTGTGTTTTATGTGCAGGAGAGATAGAATGTGAAGAAAATATGAAACTGTGAGCTTACCTAGGAGGGGATGAAAACATACAAATAACTATAATACAAAATAAAACAATAAACACAGAAGACAGTCACAGAGTTCTGAGGAGGGAAATAACTTCTGGTTGGATAGAACAGGGAAGGCTTTGACTTAGCACCTATGTCACAGGGTTATTTTATCAAATGAGATAATATGTGGAAAACTTTTCAATCTTAATGTGCTATACAAATGTTAGCTATTATCATTTAATGTTTACAGTATTGACAATATAAGGCTTATTATATTCTTTAGCTTATGAGAAAGCACCCTGCTGAAAGAGCCTACTTCATAGCTTTTAATTTAAGAAACCAAACCTCTACAGTAAGTATTCGTGAAGGTGTGGAAACAAGAAAAAGAAAAAAGGAAAAGAAAAAAAACCAGTTCCATAATACTATAAAGCTCACTAAATGCTTTCTTCTTAACTCTATGAGGGAGATAATGCAAATATTTTATATTTGAGTAAGCTGATGCCCAAATAAATTAACCTGCCCAAAGTCATATAACTAATATGTGTTGGAGCTGGTACTTTAAGTTTTCTGACCCTTAAGTACAGGACTTGTTCCACTACATGAAATTATCTCCACAAAACTGCAAAAGAAGATCAGAACAGTGGGGAGTTCAAGTTAATGTCAGTAAGTATTCTGATGCTACAAACCTTTAAGAGTAGAAACTAGGGAACAGAAACAGCTTTCAATAGGCCCAACTCCTTTAAGGTCATACTCTTAATATTCAATTAACTTTGACTAAAATAGGAATAAGGGAATGACATTATCCCCATCCCACATACAGTTGTCTGGTTTTTGGGTTTTGTTTTTTTTTAGCCAATGTGAATAAACAAAAAATTTCCAAAATTATAAATAAACTTTTTTAGTAATCACATTACAATTAAAGAAAAGGACTTTATCATTTACTGTCACTTAAATTCTTTTTTTTTTGTTTCTTACTATGTTTTCAATCCATATAGTTAGTTTAAAAAGAAACATTCAACTTTGCAAATAATAGCCAGTTTTTAGGTAAATAGAAATGTAAAGATTTTATAATTTTGATATTTATTTCCTAAGTTACCCTGATTTTTGAAAAAAAAAATGAATCTATGAAAAAATTTCTAGTTACCAAAAAAAAAATTATCTGAAAGGTTTTCAGATTTCTAGGTAACTAAAAATGTTTAGATTGATATTTTCCAAAGGAGATATTCTCCTGTAAAATATTACTATAAACCAAGCTTCATTGTATTAAAATACATGAAGTAGGTATGAGGTATACCTTTAAAATAAGAAGAGTGAAATTTCATGTGTGGCTTTCTGGAACCAGCTGCATTGCTTTATGAGCATATTTTACAATTTAAGCACTTATTAGATCTTAGCAATGTACAACACAATCTGTTTATCTCCTTATTTAAGTGGATCACTTTTTCTTGTGTACTCTGTGTTTTGGATGACGACGTCTTTTGAGGTTGAGTTTTGTTTTGTTCATTTGTTTGTTTTGTTCCCAAACTATGACTTCCATAGTTTATGGGGGATTCCTGGTGTGGAATGTTCCTCCACTGATGCAGATTGTCAATTCATCTCCAACTTTTACAGCACTTTAGAGCTTAAAAGACTCAGCTATGGTTACATAGCTTTTTTGTGCCAAAAACAGGACCTAGAATCCAGGTCTTCCTGACTCTAAGGCCATCCCCCCTGCCACAGTATGTTTTAAACACATGTTGATGTAAACGACATGTTATTTAAAAGTAACATTTAAGTAAAAAATTAATAGTCATTTTAATGCACTCAATGAACTTATTACTTAATGTAATCTTATTATGAATAATTTTGTAAAACAAATAATTACTCCATAATTTCCTTAGCATCAGGATATATTGGAAAGAGGAATAGACTGGGAGTCAGAAGACCTAAGTCCTAGACTTGGCTGTTCTACAAACTAAATGTATGACCTCAGGCAAATTACTGAACTTCTCTGGCCCTCAGTAGTTTCATCTTTAGTAAAATGAAAAGTACTGTATTACATGGCCTCCAAGTCTCCTTGAATTTTAAAATTCAAATAGTCTATCATCTTATGCAATCCAGATTTTTTATGTATTGGTAAGATTAAAAGATAGTTTATACCAGGACACTATGGAATTAATAGTAAGGCAATATACAACTTATAAACTCTTTGAAATTCCATGCAGCTTTAATTACCTTAGAATTTAGAGATGCTGAACGCTTTTTAGTTTGAGTGTCATCTGAAGGGAAAAACACACATGTTATTGAAGTTATATATACACTTTACATTAAAGTAATGATTTTCAGTTTTCATTAACTCCAGTAGATTCAAATGTCAACTCTTAGAAAAAAAAAAGAAATGCCAGTCAATTCATTCATGAAAACTCAAAAAATAATGAAAGTCTAAAAATTTGTTGTAATCATTTAATGGCTTTTTAAAATTCCCTACCTTCAGTTCAGTGGGAAAAGATGTAAAAGGAAATTCTATTTGAAATAATAGCAAAGTGTTTGGAAATATCTAGTAGTCCAACTACTAACAAGACACGAAGACAGGAAAGACATGAATGCAACTATAAAAGCATTCTTTACAAAAATACAGACAGAAATGATTGGAGAGAGATGAATTGCTCATGTTTGGGCCATGCTAATATAATACAAATGACATTACTACCAAAATTAATTTACAGATTCAGTGTCATATGAATCAAGCTAAAAAAGAATTTAAAAAATCATCTGATCAAGAATTTCAAGGGAGTTAATAGGAAAAAAAAAGTAGGGATGCTACAAGGACTAGATCTCAAAAAAGCTGCAAAGTAATAATCTCAACTATTTGGTACTGGTTAAAAAATATAAAAGTTGTTCCATGGAATGGATTAGGCACATACAACTCAGAAATAATTATTCAATAAACCTAAGGACTCCAATTCACAGGGTAAGACTCCTGTTAGAGGGGGCAGCTAGGTGGCACAGTTGGTAGAGCACTTGCCCTGGAGTCAGGAGGACCTGAATTCAAATGCAGCTTCCTAACACATAACACTCACTACCTGTGAACTGGGCAAGTCACTTAACCCGAATTGCCTCACTGAAAAAAAAAATAATTCTGTTAGATAAAAATTTCTGGGAAATTGGAAAGCAGAAATTAGATTTAGATCAGTATCTCATATACACACCAATAAACTCCAAATAGATATGATATCTAAATATAAGCAGTTATATAGTAGAGGATTGTGGAAAGAGATACCATTAACAATTAGGAATAGAGTTTTTAACAAAATGATAGAGAATAAATAAAAAGAAATAAAGTGGATGGTTTTGATTATGTAATATTGAAAAGTTTTTGCACAAATAAAATCAATGCAGAAAAAAGTAGAAAAGAAAAAAAAATCATTGTAGCCAGTTTCTCTGATAAGTCTTACATCAAAGACAGATAATAAACTGATAAAATATGTGAAAACTAATTTTTTAATAAACAGTCAAAGAAAATAGGCAATTCTAAAAGAAGAAAGGAGAGTTATCAACCACATTAAAAAACATTATTAGTAATGGAAATTAAAATTAAAACAACTCTGAGGTTCATCTCAGACACATATTGGCAGAGACGACCAAAGAGCAAAATTACAGTTATTAGAGAGGATATGGGAGGACAGACACACTAAGACACTGTTGGAGCTGTGAAGTGGTCCAACCATTCTGGTAAGTAATTTGGAATTTTACCCCAAAAGCCATTGAACTATAATACCATTTGTCTCATTTACTGGGCTTGTAACACCAAGAAGATCAGAGGCAGAGGGAAAGGAACCATGTGAAAAATAAAAAATATGACCTTTTTTCCCCTTTGTATCAAAGAAGTAGAAATAGTAGGTGGTCATCAACTGGAAAGGCTGAACAAATTATAGTATCTGAATTAATGGAATATTATTGTACGAAATTATGAAAGGGAGAGGTTCAGAAAAAATTGGTAGGACTTATATGAACTTATGCAGAATGAAGTGAGCAGAATGAGAACAATTTATGTAATGACTACTACATTATAAAGAAAAATAACTTTGAAAAACTCTGATCAATGTACTACCCAGTCATGATTCTAGAAGAAAGATTCCAGACAATGAGCCATACTTTCCACCTCTTGGCAAAGAGATGATTGTCTAGGGGTGCAGAATGAAACACATATTTTCAGAGTTGGCCAATGTGTGGATTTTTCTTTTTTTTTTTTGCATTACTATACTTATTAGCTTTTATAAGAGAATATTAATTATGATGCTAAACAAATGAAAAATTAAAAGGAAGCTAATGCCACTAAAAAAATAAATAGAAATAAGCAGAAGAAAGTTCAGAAGGGGATACAGATAAGCAGGACAGTGCTGGAATTATTCTGTTAAATTTGAAGTATTCCCCATAACAGTTACTATCTCAAAATAAAGAACCAGAAATAACCAAATTCAACAGTTCAATGTTTCATAAAACCAAGACTATAAACTAAGAGATAAAAGATAACCTATTTGACAAGAACTACTGGGAAAAACTGGTAAATTCTGGTAGAATAGAGTTATGCATCATATATATTTGTATATATAAGCATTTCAGGCCACATACTACAAAATATTCCAAATGAATACTTAAGTGAAACATAAAAGGTCACTTTTTTTTCTTTTATAAGGAGGATAGAAGAGGTACCTTTAATAACTCTGGGAAGGGAGGAATTCTTAACCAGGCAAGGTAAAGGTGATGATGAAAGAAGAAAATAGACTGTTTTAACTACATAAACTTAAATACTTTTGTACCATACAATTAAATACAGCTAGAATGAGAAGAGAAGCTCAACTGGGAAAAAAAGGCTTTGCAAAAAAAAAAATCACTGTTACAAGTCTGATAAATTAACACAAATATGAAAGTTAAATAGCCATTTTAATAGACAAAAGGTCAAAGGACATCTATAAAAGTTTGCAATAGAATTGCAAACTATCAGTAACTCTATGGAAGACTACCCCCAAAATGTTAATAATAGAAATGCAAATTAAAGAAACTGTGAGTCAGTTCACAAACCCAAAATTAACAAATAAATCAAAATATTCAGTTGGAAGGGATACAGGAAGAGAGGTAACTTAGCATGCTGTTGGTGAACCTGTGAATTGGTTCAACAATTTCTGAAAATAATTTGAACTATTTCTAAAATAGTCACAAGTATCCAACCCTTTGAATGCCATACCTTTTGATAGCACTGTTAAAGGCATACCCTAGGGAGGAGAAAGACAGAAAGAAAGGGGCTTTATATACCCAAATAATCATAGGAACACTTTCTTTAGCATCAAAAACTAGAAATTAAGTGGGGTTTCATTGGTTGAAGAATGGCTGAACAAACAGTGAAACGCGAATATAACAGAATATCATTATTACATAAGATTAAACAAGAATTCAGAAAAACAACTAGAAAGTGATGGAAGAGTAAAGTAGAACCAGGATAGCAACATTCAAATGACTAAAGTAATGTAAAAGAAAAAACACAGAATAAAGTTGAACATTTTGTAATTATAATGACAAGTCTTGGCCCCAAGATATGAAGGACTGTACCTCCTTCTTTTCACTGAAAAGTTGGGAAATTATGGTGTGTAATAGGGCATATAATGACAGATATTGTCACTGTATCAATTGTTTTTGCTTAACTGCTTTCCTTGGTTACAAAGGATAGCTAACTGGGTAGACTGAAAGTGGTAAAAAGATATCAGTAAAATTTATTATTTAAATAAATGAAATAGAGGTGCAGAGCCAACATGGTAGAGTCAAGTAAGCATTTTTTTCTGAGTTCTCCTAAACACCTCTATGTAACAACTTTAAAAAGTGGATCAAACTGAATTGTGGGTGGGAAAATCAACAAAAAGTCATGGTGAGTAAATTTTCTAACCCAGGGCAGGTTAGGAAGATAGAAAGAGAGGTCTTATGGACACTGGGGTGGGGGCTGCCTGGCAGTGCAGTGCATGGGGAAAGCAGCACCCACTGTGGATGGTAATGGTGGCAAAGGGAAGTAATGCCCAGAGATGGTAAGGGGACTGAACACCTGGTCAGAAAGATCCTGGGGACCCCTGTGTCAGTACTGGGCATAAGATGTAATGCCATTTGAGAGCTGTCACCCATTACCCAGTTTTGTGTTGCAATTCTAGGATGGAGTGAAGTGGTTGTAGTTGAGGAAACAGGGGTCCTACCTAGAATGAAGACCAGGAAGGTAGTGACAAGATCTCTCCCTGGATCATACCACTTTGGAAGAACTGAAAACTTACAGGAATCTATTGGGCTGTAAAAATGGTCATTTAACAAAATAAAGGACTTTAAAGCATTCCTGATGAAAAGACTCAAGCTGAATAGAAAATTTGATATTCAAACACATGACTCAAGAGAAACAAAAATGATAAACATGGGTGAGAAATAATCCCAAAGAAGTTTATAACCATTTAGAGCATTTAGAATGAGTCTACTTAGAGAGCATGGGTGTAAACCTATTATGTTGAGATTATCTCAAGAGAAGAATGGAAGCATAAGAAAGAAGGATGCACTGAGAGAAGGGGGAAGGGAAAGGAAGAATGAGGGAAATTAAGAGTAAAATGGGACAGGGGGAGTAGGCAATGTTTGAAACTCAATTTTTTGTTGTTGTTGTTGTTGTTGTTGAGGCAACTGGGGTTAAGTGACTTGCCCAAGGTCACATAGCTAGTAAGTATCAAGCATCTAAGGCTGGATCTGAACTCAGGTCCTCCTGACTCCGGGGCTGGTGTTTTATCCACCGTGCCCTTGAACCTCAATTTTATCGAACTGGTTAAATAAGGGAAATTGTGTGTGTGTGTGTGTGTATACACACAGAGTTGGGTATATAAATTCATTTTACTCCACAGGGAAGTATGAGAGGAAGTTGCTAGGAGAAAGGGGGAGGGAGAAGACAAAAGGGAACTGATTAAGGGGGCAGTAGTCCAAAGCAAAACAGACTTTTGAGAAGGGGACAGTGTCAAAAAAGAGAAAGTTAAACATAAGGGAAGAGGATAGAGGGAAAATACATGTGAATTGAATGAACTCACCCATACAATGAATGAAGATATCAGGATAGATTAGAAATCAGAATCCAACAATATATTGTTTACATGAGACAAACTTGAAATAGAACTACACAGAGAGAGTTAAAATAAGGGGCTAGGGCAGAATCTATTACGCTTCAGCTGAAGTAAAAAGAGGCAGGAGTAGCAATCATGATCTCAGACAA